GCAGATCTCTTTCCATTTCAGGCATCATCATGCTCATATGCATGGTATTCACCATCCCAGTACTCTCTTTCCTCCTTCCTGACCCTTGAAGATGCAATGAGCAACCAAACACAGCCAGAGAGCCAGATAACGTCATCATCCATGGGACATAACCTCCAACAATACAGAAATATGAATCTAAAAGTCTGGCTACATTTTTCATTGGTCTCGTTTTTGATCTCATCGTATTCCTTCCTTTTCTCTGTACCCTTATTTTCTGGCCATCTGCACTATTATGATTCTGGTGCAAACTGATGTGACTTTGTTCAAAGCAACCCAGAGCAATCCACTCTTAATAAATTAAAAAAAAAATACCTTCCACAAATTAGTCACAGGAAAGTGAGAGCATAAAGCAGCCAGAATTTTCTAGAATACTTTATTGCAATTTCTCAGCCACTGAGAATATTGAGACATATATTTCAGTATTTTTCAGTCTTCTGATGCTCTTATTTCTCAAATACCTTTTTCCCCTCTCTATTCTCTTTAGACACACATATGAACAATAGTTGAATGTTTTGCTTATTGTTTTTACCAAAAAAAAAAAAAAAAAAAGATTATGTAGTACCATATATAATGTTGACATGGTCTGCCAATATCAAGACAACTCAGCATGTATTAATACAGACCTGTTAAATACAAGGCCTGAGTAAGGGAAGAGCAACCCATGGCCAGCCTGAGTCACCACCATGCAGAACCAGGAGAATTACTACAAATAGTAGTTTTCACTGGGGGACTGCAAAAAAGCCTGAAAACGTGAATGAAGTGAAGCCTACGTGTTGGCCTGAGAGTGGCCTCAAAAATATCGAAATGGTCCCACACAAGCCAGTCATAATTACCTTCTATTTTTGCTGCTGAGAACTGCAGCAGTTTTCTCAATACGAGGATTAAGTTGAATACATGGAGTATTTGTTGCTTTCAGAGTACTACACTGGATCTATCACAACAGGCTGCATATCACGGGCCAATAGTTCTAGCAGAGTCAGGTCAATAAAAAAATAGTGCTATCTGCACTTTTATTAATCAAGAAAAACAGAAGTGAAAGAAACTGTCATTATCTCCTACAGAAAACATCACTCCCACTACTATTCCTAGAGGAAAGACCCTAAATCCTGCAAAGAGGAATCCACGTAGCATTTACGAGCTGCGAGTCAGATTTTTGGAAGAGGTGTGTTATGTGTTCCCATGTACTCATGAAAGAGGGAACTGCATTCAAATAAAACCTCACAAGTCTTAAAACTCCAGACTGCTAGGTTCTGTGTGGCAGCAGAATTTGCTTTACACATGCAAAGAGATGTTAATAACGTGGGGTAGAGATGAAAGATGACATATGAATAGACCAAGTAAGTGAGTCTGCAGGAAGCCATGGATGTGCTTGAACTACAATTCCAGTTAGATCTTCCTTCAAACACTTTAAAAGTATTTATTACCATTAAATTAGCTCAAGCAAAATCATAAGTAGAACTTATAATGGGTCCATTTTTTTTCTTTTCAGTTTAATATGGAAAGGTTTATTTTATTTTTACCAATTAATTTTGTCTTCAAAAGGTGTGTGAACACATCAGGAGAAAATCAGTTCTATTTGGGACTTCGCTATGTTAGTACAATGAGCCATAGAGTAAAATTTTAAAAAGCAAGTTTTCTCTTGTGATTCATTATGTTGAAACAGTTACCTCTACATACTTTCTATTTGCTATTAGAGAAATATTTTATATAATGCATATTACTAATAGCAATGGCACTTTTATTAAAATCAAGTTTTCACTACTACTGCCTCATCTGACCTTTTGCCGCTCTTTTGTGTACGGGTCATCTGGACGACCTGTGGGAGGATTTAACCTAACGCCCATCTTCCTCAGGAAATTTTTTGTAAATTGGTCACAATCTATAATCTTATATCTTCGGGCATAAAGTATTACTTCTATGTTGATATTGAAATGATCTATAGTATAGAACTGATCTTCATGAGGAGGTGGAAGTGGAATCCGATGCCGTCGAACAATAGTTCCTGTAAAAGAATTAGAAGAAATTCATAGATAGAATATCCTTTTCTCTAAGGATCACTTTACAGACTTGCTAATTTTCTATGCTGATATGACCAAAATAGATGAAGCCATATGGGACAAACAAAATTATCCTTCATTCAGCAAAAGAATCCTTTTCATTAACAACAATACTTGATGCTGATTGTCTTCTAGAACCTGAAGTTCTATTACCACCAATATCAATTACCACCTTCTGGAGCAAGCAGGAAACCACTGGAATAAATCCCCACATGTTGCTGCAAATGTAACAGGTTAGAATTTTTTCAGTAAGAATAGCAAAGACACTGCTCTCATTAAGATAAGAGATGACTTTTTCACTTTTTCTGAGAAGCAAAGCAGTACTCACTAGTACCATTAATTTTTCTTTAAAAAAAAACCCACACACCGAAAGTTGTGCAAAAAGACATGTGGCAGCAGTGTATGAGAGGGACTAGATTTGTCTATGCTCTACAGGGTGAGAACCATATATAGCTAAGGTTAGAGAAAAAAAACGCCCTATCAAAGGCAAAAGTGTGGTCTATCAAACATGGAAGCAGGTGCATTCAACTGAGATTCCTAAAGAAGCAAACTGAAAGTAGAGACAACTGAGAAGAGTTGGGCTGATTGCTGGGCTGCAGTAGAGAAATTTAAATATTGATCCATCTCTGAAATACAGAGCCAGGAACTCATAACCCATAATCTAACAGCAACACTATCAAAAGACAGGGAAAATAAAAGAAAGAAAAAAAGAAAAAAAAGAGATATTTTTAACTTTGTTAAAGTAAGTACACACTTAAGTTTTCTCTTTGATAGTCTTTAAATGAAAGGACTGTAATTCTGGGAGCATTGTATCTGTTTACATTTACCATATTAAAAAAGAAGGAATCTGCTGTTGGTCTGTCAGCTGAAAACTCACAAATACATTGATGTATTTGCTTCAAAAGTACTTACTGATGATGATTAAGAGACCATTTCTCATACGGAAAGGTTGACAGGGCTGGGTCTGTTCAGCCTGGAGCAGAGATGGCTCAGGAGGGGATCTAATCAATGTTTATAAATACCTGATGGGAGGGAATAAAGAAGACGGAGCCAGGCTCTTTGTGGTGCCCACTGACAGGACAAGAGGCAATGGGCACAAATTAAAAGATACAAATTCCATCTGAAGGCAAGAGAACGCTTTTTTACTGTGAGGGTGATGAAACATTGGAACAGGCTGTCCCAAAAGGTTGTAGAGTCTCCATCCTCAGAGATGCTTAAAACCCAACTGGACATGGCCCTGGGCATCTGGCTTTAGCTGATCCTGCTTTGAGCAGTGGGGTTGGACTAGACAATCTTAAGATATCCCTTCCAACCTTGACAATTCTGTGATACTACAAGTATTTTAGAAATAACATATAAGCTACGCCTCAGTAGGTTAAACAAATCAAAGTAAGGTACGCAGCTGCATGTATGACAAGCTATGATTTATTCTGAGTGAAGTTAGAGCTCACAAAGAACAGCATATTGGCAAAGCTGGGACTAAACACTTTTTTTCAACGTTATGAGGGAACAAAAAGGACAACAGTGAAAGTTTTGCCACATCAATACCTCAGTAGAGTTGTGTGAAAACATGCTGCAGAGTAAAAAGATGGGCCAGTCTTCAACCTCAGACCCTTTGCTGCACTTACAACACACACCTCTGTAACACCAGCTTTATAATGTGGATACCCACTGGTTAAGACCAGACAGAAATCACCAGCCCATACTATTATAACAATTCCCTGCCACCATAGGTTCCAAACTACTTTAAAATTACAGTACTTCTAAAAGGTGCAACTTTAAGACAACTACAGTAAACACAGAAAAATTCCGAAACTAAAAATGGTTCCAGTACTAAACCACTACTATAATAATAGTCTACTAGACACAATTATCTAAAAGGTCTGTCTCATTATCTCCCACTATAGAGCTGGATCTCTTTCCAGTGCCCTTCAGCTGTGCATCTGGTAGTGTTTCCCACTGAGCCCCGTTTGATGATTTTCCAGCACTGCTATTTTATTATGGGTGTAGGTGGGGGTGGAGGACAGCCTGGGGAGAGAGAGGTTGAAGAGGGGCAGAGGATGAGGGAGAAAGATGTCGCTGTGTGGTTTTGTTTGGTGTTTGAATGGCTTTATTTCTGAGTTAGTCCATAGCAATTTTTTATTGTTCACTTTATTTCCCTAAGGACTAATCTGTATGAAATACTTTCCACTACTACATTATCAATCAGAGTTGTTTGTTAAATTCTAACATCTACAGTGAAAACATACCCTTAATTTTTCAGGGGAATAAAGCAACAAGACAGATTTACTTTACATTCCCAATAAAATAATTATTTAAGACCCGTTCAGCATCCTGATGTTTCACATGTACCAAATCCAGCATTCTGGTTATTAATCTTTGATCGTAAAATAAATTTGAACCTCTATCTGCTTAAACATGCTTATACACATATTTAAGATGTATCCTCATGGAAATATTAGTTAGAAAACATGGTAATTAGCACATTTTAACACAATGCAAAACTGCATCACATTATCATTAGCAAAACCGCATACTTTAAAAACGTTACCTCATTTTGGCTTATCTTTGGGTCACTCTACTAAAATCAACAGATAATGTGCTAAGTCAGAACAGTCCTCCACATAAATGCAAATCCTATTGAATTATCAGTTTAGTGAAAACATAATGGTTCTAATACGAGGTGGTTTTTGAGGGTATATTCACCTCAGAACCGGTGAATAAGCCTTCAGCTAGTTTTTTATATCACTTTTCAAAGTATAATACACATGCCCATTTTATTCTGAGGGATAAGAATTTCTTTCCTAACAGAAAATGTCTTGTAAAGATAATATCTGTAGCAATCCTTTGCTTTTATTAGGTATCACTGTTATATTGTTGAATTTGAAATTTAAAAAAAACTGATCAGCTGAGGTTAGGTCTCAGCATTTTTTAAATTGTCCTTTCTTCTGGAAAATAATTATATTTCTACTTCTAGAATTTTGCTACAAGTTGTCATAGGAGGATCTGAGCATGTGTAATGCTCAGGTTGCTCAGGACAGATGGCTATTCTTTATGTTTCTTTTATCTTTTTTCAGTTTATTGAACAGGCTATCCTACTGCACCACCAAGCATTATTTTAAATATTTGTATCTGGTCAGACTAAAGCTCTCCTCTATTGTGCTCTTGTAAAGGGACTTGGAGTACTGCTTTTCTCTGACAGTGGTGGTGGCATCAAGCTCCCACTGCATAATTGGTAGCATATTTTCTTTTCTCTCAGGGCTTCTGATTATTTGGCAGCTACAGCAGCAGCTTAAGGAGACATTAATAGTAGTAAAGGCCTTTTGACTGTGAGGCAGCTCATGATGCTGGGCAGCAAATGATTTGGTCTCTGCTACTACACTACTCTGCAGAAGAAATAAAGTGGTATCAAGAACTTCGTCAGCACAGCTTTCTGACTCCCTCTGCACTACTCAAGAGTGCATTATAGAGGGAAGAGGAATGAGTAACACCTGGAGTTTGTACACTCTTTGCTGCACAGCAAGGAGAAGAAGCAACCATTAGTATTCCTGCAATACAAAGAGTTCACCCCAATAAACAAGGGGGCTTCTTACATTCACTTATTTACCCATCGCAAAACATAGCAAGGTCATGATTTGGCCACCATCAAGTATGGCAAAATCACAAGTATGTCAAGGCCTCAGGGGAGGTCTTAAACTCTTAGATAATCAGTTATATTGGAGGAGCTGACTGCAACTTCACTTTCCCGCTTGTACTTTCCTCTTCAGCCAGCCAGCCTTGGGAACCCAGCCAGCAGGCAGCTCCACTCTCTGTTTCAGCTGGCTGACCTTGGGGAAACCAGCCAACTGCTCCACTCTGCTCTGGCTTGCAGGGCCTGGATTGCACTGGAAGCTACAGTCAAGCCCATGGGACATAAATGACCTTTTGATAAGACAGTATCAGCCAGACACAGCCCTGTTAACTGGGAATTAGATCTACAAAACACTTGCACTGCCATATCTAGCCTGGCTCTCTATAGCAGAGTTTCTTTTTATATGGGAAGAGTAATTAGCATTCTGGCTCTGGAAGAACACAGTGGAGTTTGTTATGTGGTGGAGTTTACTGTCCTTCTCTTCACTCTGTAGTCCCTTATCTTTAGTTAATTTTTGTGCACTGATTGTCCTGGTATTTTTTGCTTTGATTCTGGTTTCTCAAGTTCAGGTTGGCCTCTGCATTCCTTCGTGCTTTGCATCGCATTTCTCTGTTTGCACAGATTTCTTCTAATGCTTCTAATATTTTCCAAAGTTCAAGCTATAGCAAGGCAGTTCCCAAAATGAAATTAAGTTTAAATTTCAGTTATTTGGTAGCAACCTTATCTGTCCAAATTCATGTCCAAGTACAGCAGCCAATTCCATAATGCACTTTTTAAAAGTCACTGAAATACATTTCCCATAGATCATTTACTGTGTCACTATGAAATTTTGATCAATGGTAAAAGCACATTTTTGGGCTTTTTGGTTTTCCAAAGCCAATTTGTTTTACTTTTGTAAAATCATAATCCAAGTTAGAAATTCTTCTAACTTCTTTGACAGCTGTTCCTTCACCAAATCTTCCTGCAGTCCATAAGCCTCTCCAAGTGTTTTTTTTTCCTGCAAAGCCACAAGTGCTACCCACAGTGGAGAGGACAGTGGGAAACTACAATATTTCTCAGATCCCACCATGCCCAGGGACACCCATTCAGGCCATGAAGCTCTCATTTGTGGGTTACGGCACAAGCACTGGTAATCCCATGGCCTCAAGTCATTAACCAGCCACGCTAGGGAGATCTACCTTTGATCTACCCTACCACCTGCCTTTGATCTACGCCACCACCGCTATATCTACTCTGCAAGAAGACTCCTGAGAACAGCCATTTGAGCTGTCTATCCTACATCTTTTCTGCCAGGGTAAACATCCAAGGTAAAGTCACCACCACCTTCTGCCTTCAACAGTTCAATTCCACTTTTTCCATCATGTTTTTTTGCTGTTCCTCCTTTACACAACCCCCTTCCTGCCACTGCAACTCTACAACTGTTCACACAGACTGAGCCTATCCTGCTCCTGATGTTCCCACACTTCTTTCTTCACTCACATCCCCACACCTGTGCTCTTTTGTTCAGTGCAGTTTGCCTTTCAACAACCTGAGTTCTCCTACAGTTGAACTCTCTTCTACAAACCCCATGTCTTTTAATTAACTAAACCACTGTATTTCAGCAGATGTGCAGAGGACAGCATTATCATTAAGATCCTGAACTTCAGTTCAGCTCAGTTCTCCATCCTGTTAACAACCTTTTCTGCATGATCATGGGAAAGATTTTCATTCCTCTGTGCTTCAGTTTACCAGCTTCACAATGCAGACAGTTATGCTTCTGTTCTCAAGCTTACAAATTCCCAGTCAGGGCAGGGAATTTGAATAATATAGGAGACATATGTAATTATAATAAAAGAGGCAATGGGTCAATTTTTAATTGAAAACAGAATAAAACTAGCAGTTAAGGGCTTGGGATTTCTTTTTAAGAAACACTGCTTTTGCATATATTCAACAACAAATATTTAGTGCCTTTAACATAACAACTTTGTGGTTGTTCTTAAGTTATAGAGCATGAAGTCATTGCCCAAGTGCATGTGAGTAAAGAATCCTCTGATAGGTATCTCCACCACCTTCTTCCTTCTATATCATATTCATCTCTAGGATAATAAGAATATTTATGTAGCTGTTTATGATAAAGTACAGGCCCCAGATCTTCTCATCACCTGTGAAGCCTAAACACATCCCAAATAGTCCTTAGGCCTTTCAATCTACAGTATCCCTTCCTAAACACAATCAATCTACAGAAATTCCTTACCAGCCCAGGTACCAGTAACAAATAAATTAAGCACACTTTTGAGATCCTGAAACTTTTCTTTTTAATCCATCTGTTTAATACATTGTGTATACTAATTTATCCCACATAAAGTACTCACACAAAGCCATAGAGGCCTTCAAAACATCCTTGCATGAAAGACTGAGAGAATTCTCTCCAACACTATTCCGTTAATTTTGGATCCAGTACCAAAGGTGACTCCAAAACCATTAACAATAAGATACAACCAAGGAAATAGGTGGAAATGGTAGCCTTCCTGTCACTATAGTATCATGACCAGACTACCAGGATCAGGCGTGACAGAGCAGCCTGCACAACCCATACTACGAAGGCAATGAAAATGACTCATTACTAAAAGCTAGATTCAAAGGAATTGTCTTCGAATTTGCTTTATCCTGCTCTAATGAACCTGGCTTCCACCTACCCTCTCAAAGACGTCGCCTCTACCTCTCAGGTTAACTGTACTTCCTTTGTTGATAGTCATTTGTTCTAAGCCACAAAATCCAGAAACAGCCGCTCCCATTCCCATGACACACAAGTCAAGGAAAACCTAAACCCGATGATGTCTCCAGCCTCATGCATATGAGTGCAGGGAGGGGATAAGTAACCTATAAGTTCTCAGGAGAAGAGATCCAACATGCTTTTCTTCAGGTCTTGAAAAAGCACTTGCACAGGTAGGAGTAGGACAAGGTTCC